AGAAAGTTGAAGTGAAAATAGGGATTAATAATAGGCTGTATTTCTTCAGTCGGGCCTAGAAATATTGAATATGAATTGAGTAAACATTTCCGTGTTCTTAGTAATTAACCTTCTCTTCGTTTCCTTTGTTGAAATGGACTCCAAAAGGTTCTCCTATCCGCCCTACCAAACGCCTTGTCATATACGATGAATTTGGTGTATAGTGACGGGTTTAACTCAACTGATTGTTCAACAGTGATCCGTAGCGTCTTGATTTGGTCAGTGCATGACCGATCCTTACGGAGTCCAACCTGTTGATCTAGAAGTTGGGCGTCTACCAAACCTCTCATCCGGCTCAGTCTACCGGCACTTGATCATTCTTCTAAATCTTTCTGAATAGAATATGGGGCATCTTTGAATTTAATTCTATGCGTGACTTCAGTGCTTCGATTGGTATTTTGTTTGATAGCCATCTTGATTTCTTCCACCGTTAGTGCAGTGACAGTTATATGAATGTGTATACTGGCTCGGTGTCTGGTGAGTTCATTAGGGCTTATCCATTCAATAGCTCTTCAAAATGTTCTACTAACATGTTCGTCTGTTCTTGAATCTCAGCGAATGGCTTGCCTGATTTGTCCTTGATCGGTCTCTCTAGTTTATTATACTTCCCAGCTAGCTTTTTCTTTGTGTCGCATATTTGTCTCATATTTCCTTCTGTTGCACCTATCTTCTCTGTCGTTGCTAGCCCTTCCATATACTTCTGCTTGTGTGGTTTAATGCTCTTCTTCACTTTCTCGTTTGCTTCTGTGTATTCAGCTTGTGCCTTTACTTGCGCTGTTCTTGTTCGACTGTTGTTTATTGCTGTCTTCTTGTTCTTCCTTTCTTGAATCTTGACCAGGGATTTGATAGAGACCCATTCTTTATGATGTTGCTTCTTATGGCCCGGTACCTCCTGACGCGTTGAAGTTAGTGCTTCTTTGATTCCTTTCCAGTTGTTCACGATAGTAGTTTCTTCTACTTTGAGTAGATCCTATAAGGTTTGGAACCTGTTTTTATGAGTTATCTTGAATTTGTTGAGTTTGTTAGTATCTCGTAAGAAGGCTATATTAAACCTTTGCAATGCTGTTTCCCCAGTTGTCCAGTGCTTTTTCAGCTTCCGTTTTGTCTTGGCCACAATCAGGTAGTGATCTGAAGTTATGTCAGCTCCTATTTCTGTTCTCACCTCTTCCATTGACTTTATTGTTTTAGTGACGTAAATACAGTCTATCTGGTTCTCCTTGGCATGATCTGGTGAGATGTAGGTAGCTTTCTGTATGCATTTGTCGGGGAATATTATTGATATTATTATACCCCCTGTAATCATTTTTTTGGATGAACGTAGATTTGCAAATCTATCAGCTTTCTCGTTCCCTTTTTCTAGTCCATGTCGTCTCATGATATCATCACGAACGTTGTTACCTATTCCGACTTTGGTGCTTAAGTCTCCCACCTGAATGGTCAGATCCCTTCCTGGGCATTTCGCTTTGATCGACTGTAGACTCTCGTATAGCTGCTTCTTATTGTTGTGGTTGCTATCATTGTTTGGTGCACAACATTGGATAACATTCATTGTAATTCCCTTCTTCCAAGTTTCTAACGATGCGATTCCTATCCTATAAGTAAACTACGTGCTTCTTTGGATGACATCAGCGCAACTTTTTGAGCGTGTGCAGCACTTTTCTCTTCGTAATCGGAGTACAGCAGCATCTCCCCCGCACCTAACCTTTGCTGTCTAGTTTGTGTCCAATGTGCTTCGCTGGTTTCCAGAACTCTCAAGTTGTATCTCCTCATTTCCGTCGCTATTTTACTGGTCCTCCCGGTCTCCCACATTGTCTGGATGTCCAATGCACCTGTTAAAATTGTTGCTTTGGTTGTTGGAAGGGGCACAAGCCTTGTGACTCCCGGAGTATCTCGGCTTTTGTCATGTGGCGTCATAATTCTTTCTTCAACATGGATGTCAGAGATTAAATGGTTTAACTTGTTCATTCTGGTTGGCGTATTTTAGCAAGGTTGTTTTCAACAGGATGAGGTTGCCGAACGCATGCCTAACAACCTCATTTACCCGGGATTGGGACCGGCAATAACCCTAGAAGAGGTACAGGCGAAGTTAGTAGTATTACAGAATGACCTAAATTGTAGAATTATGGCCTACTATGATATTAGTACTGCTCTAATAATAGACCTGATCTTAAAATTTTAGATTCGTCATGATATAACTTCCTAATCTATAAGATCGTTAGTGGAAGTTACATCATCGTCTACACCAACTCACTGCATCGTAACAACTACCAATACATGATGGAAAACAAGCTTAGGCTAGAGATAGAATAATATATTTAATATGAGCGAAAGATATAAGTTAACATTCAGCAGAGACCACGCCTGCAAGTTAGAGTCATGCCATCCGACCAACTCGAATTCATTCCTTGGTCCTCGCCTTCTCCATCCAAGGGTATTTCTCCCCGTTAAATGTTGAATGTCTATTTCCCATATTGTCTCGTGTTAGAGCCCATTGCCACTACAAATTCATTGGTTGCATGGATGGGTATATGGTCATGGAAGTTAATTCTCAATAGAGTTTGTTGATGTAGATAAATAACTGTGGTGACTCAGATCACCACAAAATATGTAAAATTTTGTTTCCTAAGTAAATAAACTTTAATGATCTAGAAGTCATTAAAAGCAATGATCGTAAGACTGTCTCTATTCAAAGATTCAGGCCATTCGTAGGTCATTTCACTACTTGGAAGGAGAAATGTTCTGGGTATTATGCCCGACTTTCGTGAGAACCCTTTTAGAAGGTGGGATTCAAGTAACGAGTCCTCGTTTCAAGCATGGAGCGGTAATGCTAGAATGAGTTCAACTGCAAGGATCCAAAATTATAAAAAGTCTTTCTGGTCTGTCTTGAGAAGATAGGCTGTAACACAACCTATTTCCGTTATCTTATTGTAGGTCAGGAGGTAACCTAATACGAAATTACCATATACTGAATGACGATTTTGGCATTAATATGTCTTATATTTTCTTTTAATCTAGGAATGATTATCTGAGAGGGTATTCCAATAAAGTTCAAAAACCTAGACCATGCCGTTTACATCTGGAGCTCCGTTTTTCACAGTGAGTAGTGAATTACTGGAATTCTCTACCAGAATACTTAATACCATCATCTGTTGATACCTTGGGTTTTCACTGTAACAAAAAACCGAAAGGATTAATATAGATCGAGTGACCTCTCATTCTTTCACTGGAAACTAAAGACTGAAGACATGGTCACCTACACTGACAAACTGAGAAATCAAATTGAATTCAGTCATGTAGAGAAGTAAGACTAGATGCATAATAGTGTTTGGATAGAAACACACACTCTAACACACATAAAAGCAGTTTTCCTAATGGTAGTAGAAATAAGTTATTTTTTGGCATTAACTGCGTTTTAACGCACCAAATTATTTAAACGATGTGGCACCCAGGTGATCAGTGTTGTGGCCCCCTATTTTTGCTTCAAACTCTTAAGGTATGCTGCTTAGAGTCTCGTCTGATTTTACGTTAGTAAACTTCTTGTCCCACAATAATCGGTGATCGCCATATATACCGTCGTTGTTTTTTTCTTAAGTGCGTGGGAAAGTTCTGAAATATAAAGTAATAGAATCACAGGTTAAGAACTTTAAATTTTTTCAGTCTTCAGTAATAAGGACAGGTCTATCGACCTATATTAACCCCTGCAGCTTGTAACGCTGTGGAGGTCCAATATCGTTTTGAACATATCGACAGAATATGCTGATATTACGTGTTCTTGTAGAAAATTCCAGTAATTCACTACTTGGTGCAAGGAACGAAACTACAGACGTAGACAATTTGACATCGATTTTCGAGCTTTCTTATTGTTGTTAATGCTACGTATCGACAAGTTGAGCTGGAGTTCATAGTTGTGTAATATGTATAGACACTTAATCAGCTTTGTATCTTTTAAAATCTAACTCCTGACACTAAAGCTTCTGAACACTAACTCAAAACCCCTATACTCCTAACGTAAACACACTGGCCTTAAAATTTCGTGCTACAAGAATATCACCTAATCCTTTTTAAATGCGAAATATACTTCCTCACTTTATATCTAGCCCCACTTTTGTAACAATGTTTGGCTCCATGTTCATCACGTTTGGTTCTACCTTCTATTTCTAAACTGCATTTTCCTCATCAGGTTGGTATCTAATTCTGGGAGATTGTTAATAGAGGGAGCACCGGTTCCAGAATTGATAACCTGTGTAGAGCACATAAGACTTTAGCCAGATAACTTTTATCCTCTGTTGTGGATTAAATGCATATATTGAAAACAATAGTGATAAAAATATATTCTGTCGACAGTGTGGTTTAGGCTGAAATGAGGAATCCTTTGTTGACCCCATCAATCTGGCAAGTGTTCGCCTTCAAATATAAACTGAACTTTACGTATAGATATCCTTAACAAGTATATGTATGATCAGATTGCTCGAAATGTATTGCTCTAATATATCACATAGTTCCAATGATTTTCATCTTCTTATTACACTATTCGAATTTATCAAGGGAACTAGTTGCTTGTATTGTTATTGTACTAACCATTTTGGTTAAGAAGCTGGAGTCAGTTATTTCAAACAATTTTAACGTGACTCTAGCTTCTTACCAGAATGTCTAGTACAACAACAATATAACTGCAAATATACACAGGATGGTCCTCGTCAACAAAGGATTCCTCATTTCATCCAAAACCACACTACTAACAGAATATTTTTCATTACTGTTGTTATCAATATATGCGTTAATTCCATAAAGTCTGTTTTACTAATAAATTTTAAGTATACACTTGCAAGATTTCACCGAATTCTTTTGTCATCAAGTTAGGTTTTTAGTCGTAGCCTTTATGGACTTTTGATTTCTGACCAGATTTTCCATTCTTCAGGACAACTTATGAGCGATAAGCATTGTCACATCTCTGCAAGTTCATGACACGTCCTCACTCTCGTGTTTTGGCCATCACGTTTGTTATAGTCATATGTATCCTGTGTTCTACCTACATATATAATGTTTGTGAGTAAATTTTATTAACACATGTACCTTAGAATCATAAAAGGAGCGTGAACATCGTTAAACGTAAAGGTTTTTCTTCTGAACTGCAATACTTCGGTAAGAGTTACAAGGTTTGAGAAAGGTATTTTGTTTTCTATTCTTTGTTTGTCTACAACAACTTATTCATCAGGCATACTGCTTGTTTAGAATTCCTTCAAATTGGTAAACAATGCACTCCATACGTACTAGACATTGAAATAATCAACATAAGCTATGGCAAAATGGGAATCGATACAACCCGTCAAATTTTATATCAGGCATACTTATCGGCGTCCGACAATAGTGGCCTTTCTTGACTTAAAAACAGCATTTGACTCTGTAAATCGAGAGGCTCTGTGGCAGTGTCTGTCACTGAAAGGTATACCTCAGAAGCACATAAATCTTGTGAAGGTTCTTTACCTAGAACACTACTAGTTGAATCAGAGTTTATGTTTAACTGTCATCTGTTTTTACAACCTCAAATGGTGTCCGTCAGGGATCTCCACTATGTCCATTTTTGTTCAACTTCATGGACACTGATGGTAACAACGTCCTCATCGACTGAATTTTCGGGCATCGATCTCCTACCAGGAGGTTCAATTATTGACTTAGAATACTCAGATGACATGATCCTGTTTGGTGAAGACGCTGATAAAATTTAGAGTCTTGGTAGCACAGCACGACAGTGCCTGGATGATTGTGATGCGTTTCTCTCCTAAATGCAAGTTATTGATTCAGGACTGGCCTGCATCAACATTTGAACGTCACGTTACGTATGCCCAACCACTGACTGCACCGACGCACGATGTTTTATGGTGTAGGAGTAGATTAAAAGAAAGTAAGGGGGCGGTCAGACCCCAAATGCCCTGGTACGGCCGAGAGTGGGGAGAGTCCGCTTTCCCTCTCAAAATGCTCTCACATGGCCATGCCTATATAGCCTCTGCCAGGGAAGTCCTACTCACTGCCTTCTCGTGGCGGGGGTGTTGTTTACAAAAATGAGAGGACGAAAAGCGAATGTCCGGCGCTTTAACCGGACCCCAAACCACTGGTGCACATGGGCTCCAGTATCCTGAAGGAACAAATGGCGTATGAACCAATCGTTGGTCACCGGCTACCATGGGACTGCATCTCCTCACGATGCTCCACTGCCTTGTGGGTCAGACGTTCAGGTCGAAGGCTCGTAGTGTGGCCCCCTAAGAAAACCACCTGCTTCGGTTTGGGCACCCGAGCAGTATCACAGCCCTCACACAAATCGATTGAGATTCGTGTGGCGCATATGTACTTGGTGCCTCCCTGTACCTATACTTATGTGTTAAAATAAATAAATATAAATAAATAAAGACCATAACATGGCACAAATCCATGAAATCACTGACAAGTGGACTGAGCCATGTTGGTAGGTGTAGACTACCTGGTTGGGATCCGTGAGACGATAGCAACCGATGGTTAGAGACCTTGAATGTTATGGCTCAAACTCGTTTGTAATGGCGCAGGTGCATCCACTCTTTGTGTTCTCCCAAATTCTAGTCTTCTGAATTCTTCATGTCCTTTATTTTCTTTCCAAATATATTCCACTGGACTATACTCCTTAAATAACATCTTCAAACCCTAATGTTTCTGATTACTGCTTATACTTTTACTACCTCTACCACTACGGGATATGAATCGACAATTGCATCTCTGTGCGTCGACAGCTTCTGACCAGCCCTAATGGATTGGTGTCTGACGAAATCTCTGCACGGATTCAAAAAGCTCGTCTGGCTTTTGCCAACTTGTGTCACCTATGGCGAAGGCGAGACATCCGTCTATCAATTAAGGGATGGATATACTACGTGGCAGTTTGTTTTGTTCTACTTTACGGCTGCGAAACGTGGCCACTAAGAGTAGAAGATATTCGTAAGCTAATAGTATTTGACCACAGATATCTTAGAAATATAGCTCGCATCTACTGGGATCACTGAGTAAGTAATAGTGAGGTTGGACACAGGGTATTAGGAAATGACGGTAAACCAGTCGATGAGGTTGTAAATCTTAATCGACTAAGATGGTTGGGCCATGTGTTACGTATGCGTGAACACCGTTTACCGCGACGCGCAATGATGACTTGTGTTGCAGACGGCTAGAAGAAAGTTAGGGGTGGCCAAACCAAAACTTGGCATCAGTCATTGAAGTCGCTAACTTCTAGTCTGAGCCATGTTGTTAGATGCAGACTACTTGGTTAGGGTCCGTGTGACTATCGTAACCAATGGTTGGAGACTGAGTGACATGGCTCAGAATCGATCACAATGGCGTAGGTTAATACACTCTTTGTCTTACCTTAAATCGTGAGATCAAAATTACCTTTCTTTCTAATTCTTTGTTCCTGAACTATATCCTTATACACAACCTTTTATATATTACTACCTTTGAAGTAACTACTATGAATTAATGTTTATCTTGTTGTGCTAATAAGGTATGTTAACTTGGACCGATGCACATATGTTGCTGATCCTACGTTGTAGCAGACAACTGTTCAGACTTGTTAAGGAAACCGGTATTAGGAACCCAACTGTTAGCGAAACTATCTCGGAAAAAATGGACATATTATTCATTCACAATCCAGGAGATTGGATCAATGGGCAGAACACTTTAGGAATCAGTTCAACTGGCCTTCAGCTACACTTCGTTTCCCCACGATCTCCAGTCTACCTGAATGGCAAGTTAATGTAAGTCCTCCCACTTTTACGAAGTTGAAAAAGCTATAGGAAATCTGAAGCGTGGGAGAGCAGCAGGCCCTGACAGGTTTACCCCTGAGATTTTTAAGGATGGCGGTCCAGTATTAGCAGCGAAATTGACTGAGGTCCTAGGTAGAATCTGGGAACTGGACGTAATCCCATCTGACTGGTCTCAATCACTGATTGTGCCAGTCTATAAAAAAGGACAAAAGTCCTCCTGTGACAATCACAGAGGAATTAGTTTGACTAATATAGTGTCTGTAATATTAGCTTCAATAATACTTCGACGTCTAACCAAAGCTCGTGAAATGCAGACTAGAGAAAACCAGGCTGGTTTTCGACCTGGACGTGGTCCTAGAACGTAGACACACATTCAGACGCCCCACAATGGTAGTATTTCTCGACCTTAAGACAGTGTTTGTCACTGAAAGGAGTACCAAAGAAGTACATTAACCTTATACAGGCTCTCTACTCGAACACAACTGGTCGAGTGAGAGCTTATGGCAAACTGTCATCAGAGCTGATTACCTCAAGTGGTGTTCGTCAGGGCTGTCCACTCTCTCCATTCTTGTTTAACTTTGTCGTTGACGTTCTTTAAGAGATCACACTTTCCTCATCTAAATTTCCAGAGTTTGAACTTCTGCCGGGAGATTCACTTGTTGACTTAGAATATGCCGATGACATATTTCTATTTGGTGAAGACGCTGACAAAATGTAGAGTCTGCTCACCACTCTGAGCAACAATGCAGGCATGTTCGGCATGCGGTTCTCCCCCTCGAAATGCAAAATGTTGCTTCAGGATTGGGTTGCATCGACACCCGAACTAGTGATAGGGAGTGAAGTTGTTGAGCGTGTCGACCGCTTCACTTATCTTGGGAGTCTCATCAGCCCTTATGGTCTGGTGTGTGATGAAATCTCAGCACGAATACAGAAGGCTCGACTAGCTTCTGCCAACTTGCGTCATTTGTGGCGTAGGCGAGATATCCGTCTATCAACCAAAGGACGAATTTACTGCGCAACAGCTCGTTCCGTCCTACTTTATGGCAATGAAACATGACCGGTAAGAGTAGAGGATATTCGTAGGTTACTAGCATTTGATCATAGGTGTCTTCGAAACATTGCTCGTATATCCTGGGACCATCGAATAAGTAATTCAGTTGTTAGGAAACGGGTACTAGGTAAGGATGGCAAATCAATTGATGAAGTAGTGAAACTTAATCAGTTGAGATGGCTGGGACATGTGTTGCGCATGCCAGACCACCGACTGCCACGACGTGCGATGTTTTATGGCGTAGGAATAGGTTGGAAGAAAACTAGGGGCGGTCAGACCATAACATGGCACAAATCCATGAAATCACTGACAAGTGGACTGAGCCATGTTGGTAGGTGTAGACTACCTGGTTGGGATCCGTGAGACGATAGCAACCGATGGTTAGAGACCTTGAATGTTATGGCTCAAACTCGTTTGTAATGGCGCAGGTGCATCCACTCTTTGTGTTCTCCCAAATTCTAGTCTTCTGAATTCTTCATGTCCTTTATTTTCTTTCCAAATATATTCCACTGGACTATACTCCTTAAATAACATCTTCAAACCCTAATGTTTCTGATTACTGCTTATACTTTTACTACCTCTACCACTACGGGATTTGAATCGATAACTGAATCTCTGTGTCAATGTGGTATGGCAACTTGAACTGATGTACGTACGTACGAAGTTCCACGTTGTTACTGACTGACTGTAGCTGACTGACAATAAAACAAAAACGTACAACCGAGTTAACTTAATAATATTAATATTGCAAGAAGAAAAATTAAAACTTAGCTTATAAACGTTATTCTGGTCCCCAAATATTTCTTATTTACGACAACTAGCAGCAGTAACATGCCTAAATTGTAAATGCCTGAAAATCGTCAAACATGTAGGATAAGAACTGCAAAGTGATATTTTATTCAAGATTTACGGAGAGGTAGAAGATGAATGTTTATGCATAATTTTCAGCGATTTTAAGCGATATTCATGGAGGGTTTTTAATCGTTCTCAGCAGTCTTGGCAGTTGCTTCCAGCGGGCTTGCATTTTCGTACTCGGGCCGGACCAACATTCACTGTTCCCATAGATTAATGTCATGTTCTAGTCGAATAAATAAAGGCAGTTATGTCCTAGTAAATAGTCGACTTTGATTGTATTTACTTCAATTTTATGTCGATTCATTTTTCCTGTTTAACTCGTATTTTAGATATTAGGGCCTCATCACCGAACTCTACTTGTCGCCATACAAAACAAAGTCCCATACTCGTTGTTGACGAACTAGGATATCTGTGTAATTATTTTAATCTCCTGACGAATAGTTGTTGCCCGTTTCAAAACTTAACACAGCGCTTTTTTTGTCATTCATGCAAGTCTAACCACTGCTGTTCTATCTACGAGCATTGTGTTTCTTGCTGCTTGAATCCAATTAATGTAAGTTACAGCTTGCTATTGTAGTGCTCTTTACTATTTGTCAAAATTTAAATGTCTCGAAACAAGTACATCTGAAGCTTCAACTACAGGTTTTTAGTTCAGTTCCCGTTTTATCTATCAATTTTCAAACAATTAGTTGTCACCTTTAGCTCTTATAAAATGGATAAGACGCAGCCCAAATGTGCGTTATTATCGAATTAATGTAAGTTTAAACTCAATAATCTCCACAACCCCATAGCGAGAAAACTTTTTGTTTAACTTTAGTTTTGATAGTTCGTAAAAGATACACTTCTATGTAGACTCTTCTGTGGAACATAACCATTGAATTGGATTTGCATCTTTAAGTTGAGCTTGGTTAACAAATTTCTGGGTTGGCTCTGAATATTGGAAGCCAATAAATAGAATAGAAGCCTCAACCCAGTATGCAAAACATACCACTGACCTCAGAAATATTTTCACGAAAACTTAATTGTGGTTTTGAGGTATGCGTATACACATATTATATGTATCTGCAAAATCAGTTTTTGTATTTTGATTGCACACCACCTGAACACGGCATGCAAGTAAGGACATTCGAAATAACGAGTACAAAACACATTTCTGTCATATTGAGATTCTCAGAAACCGTAACAACTAGAAGGCTAAAACGTAGTCTTTACATTTAACAAAACTCAGTGGTCAACATTCAACTAATCCGGCGTGACTGAAACTGCATGTGATTAACTTACCTTTTTTAATATTTTTCATTCAATCATGACTACAACTCAATGTGTCAAGTTTTGGCCATCCATTTTCTTATTTTTGTAAATTCCTAATAAACGATATTCTTGAACTGTCATTTTACTTATTGATAAATACTTTACTAAATCTCAATTTCGACTCCATCAAAACTGTCTTCCAAAAGATTTCCTGCAATGTCATGAACAGTTCATCTTAATTTACAAGTATCCATATAGGTTGGTACCAGTGGTGACTTTTAATGGTATGCGTTCTGTTCTCTTAATTCTGGACGAATCAATGTCGACTCGGTGGTCAGAACGTTTGACTTTCAGTCGTTGAGTTTCATTTTGCTTAGAATTCGAATTGATTCGATTTTTATTTTCAAGTAGGCAAATATTAAGCTGCATTTCTCTTTTATGTTACATTTAAGAAATCCCTGTGGGATAAAGTTCAAAATCTTAGTGCTAACAATAAACGTCATCTACAATTAGCTACAGATGCATTCGAATTTTGTGTTGCAGTTTGTAGAACTTCTTCACTAGTAAGTATTTATTGTTGCTAGAATTGATTATTGTTAACAGTAGTTCTAACTTTGTTTATATTATTCCTATGTTCTTATTTACGCCTCCAATAGTAAGCTTACTAGCCCCGTTACCCAATTTTTTAATGGAATCAATAATCATTGCAAACTTCCACATTCATAAGCTTCCAGTTAAAACACTAAGAACCCCAAGGAGTGGTCGAAATTATCTTTATTTGTTTAGATTCATAACTCAATGTGTTAAATAAAAAAAACAGGACCACAACACAGCCATAGCACAAATATTAATAGATACGTAACTAAGATACTTTTAATTCTAATCTGAGTAACAAATGTATAGTCAGTAAGCTAAAAAGATAGCTTATAATTAAGGCTATGCAATTCCCATAATATGACTGCCTGAAAAATAATCATTAAAATGTACCAGCTAGTTCGCCAAAAATTATCTGCCCATATTTCGCACTTTTCTTTCTTCTTATCTTCCTAAGAATTATCATTACGCCAAATGTCTTGATGTTTTGCATTGAATTTAATGTCTCCTTGCGTTACATTGGCCAGTCTTCTCACTAGATAGCTCATTCAATTAGGTAGTACCTAAGTAGATGTTCATTAGAAATATCCAGCTCAATCCAGGTTCCTTCATTTCCTTTAACAGGCTTAATTCACGATAGAATCAAGCTTAACACCACATTGCGAGTCGTGCTAAAATACATGAAGCTTAATTTAACGGCTTCTTGTCAATCACATCCTATCGCAAAACTCAATCTGACGGGAATTCGAGTCTATATTTCTCAGTTGATTACAGTTAATTCTTTACAGAACATCTTGCACACTCAGTATTAAATCTTGTACATTTGCACTGTTGCATTTTAGACTGTCTTGCATGAAAATCGGTACCGTAATTTGGAAGAACTTTATTGCTTTGGGCTGAAAAGTTCAAATACTCCAACACAGTGATTGATTTACCAGAGAATTTTTATAGATTGTAAGTCTTACTTCTATCTACATAAATTTCCAATTCTGATTGTAGAATAACCTTACCATTGTATGTTTATACAGGTGACTAGTCTCTAACAAAACAAGAATGTGAGTAAAGATGGATATGATCAATACATCCTCGACCAGAACGAAACCCAGCCTGCTCCTCGCGAGTCAATCCTTCTCGGGTCCTGAACAACCTACGAAGTATGACGGAAGCCAATAGCTTGGACGCAATCGGAAGTAGACTTATCCCCCGATGGTTGTTACAGGAACGACGTGAACCCTTTTTAAAGATAGGGACAACTATCGACTCATTCCATGACGTTGGTACACACTCCAGTTCCCAGACCTTTGTAAACAACGTCGTCAGTCCCTTAGTCAGAATGTCACCAACATCTTTAAAAAGAGCCGGAGGTAAGTCATCTGGGCCCGGTGATTTGTGGCGTTTCAAGAGTTGGAGTTCCTTGCGGACTTCCGCCTCATTTGGTGGATCAGTCGTCACCGGCCATGGAGGGCAGGACAGTCTGACCAATGTTGCCGGAGCAGTAGGCCAGTTGAACTGCCCTTCGAAAAATTCTGCCCATCCTCCAAGACGTCGATGGATGTTAGTGATTGGCGTTCCGTCATCCTCGCAGATTGTTTTGCTCACACCAGACTTCTTGCTGCCAGTGGCTCGGATGAGTTGGAAGAGCTTCCGGCAATTACCAGATGCAGCTGATGCTTCCAGCTCATTAGCACGCTCCGACCACCAGGCTTCTCGGTCCTCACGCAAGCTTTGCCCAATTTCAGTACGTAACATCCTTCGTTTGTGGTCAAACTCACGGTCACCCGGAGTAGACCGACGGGCTTCAATGAGTTGCAAGGAACCAGAGGAAACCCAGTGCTTATAAGCGGGACGTTTCGCGAACCCATAACTGACTTTACTCGCCATTTTCATGGCGTCATGCAATTGCAACCAATGCTCATCTATACTTTTTGGTGGAATGGTAGCTAGTCTAGAAGCTAGCTCGGTTCGGTACTTACTAGCAACAGAAGTTGCAACCGGCTTGCTAACATCAATCCTTTGGTGGCGGTCACTTCGTTGGCCACTAAAAAGTAAGGTAAGATTGGCGCAGACCAGGGCATAATCAGAGTCCAGATAGGTACTCCAAAAGGAGCGGCAGTCTTGTACACAACCGCGCCAGCGGTAGCTGATCGCGATGTGACCAGAGTCCAGGCTTGAGATGCAGAGAAAGGACGCCAGGTGACACATCGGCGATGACTGTGCCGAAAGTTAGTGCTAGCCAGAAACAGGTTGTGGTACCATCAAAGTGAGAAGTCGGCGTGAGAAACGATGTCCTTTCGTCATCTCCGCCTATGCCCCGACAGATTGCAGCCCGTATGCAATCAAGGATGCATTCTACCACCAGTTATTTGTTCTCCAGAAAGTGCGTTCGACAGTACTAGCTGGAGACTTGAATGCTCAGGTCGGGCGTCTAGGCACAGAAAAGAGTCGTTTAGGTGGCCGATGGGGACTTGTTGGTCGCAGGACAGATAACGGGGAACGTCTACTGCAACTATGCACAGACCACAACCTGTTTCTGGCTAGCACTAACTTTCGGCACAGTCATCGCCGATGTGTCACCTGGCGTCCTTTCTCTGCATCTCAAGCCTGGACTCTGGTCACATCGCGATCAGCTACCGCTGGCGCGGTTGTGTACAAGACTGCCGCTCCTTTTGGAGTACCTATCTGGACTCTGATTATGCCCTGGTCTGCGCCAATCTTACCTTACTTTTTAGTGGCCAACGAAGTGACCGCCACCAAAGGATTGATGTTAGCAAGCCGGTTGCAACTTCTGTTGCTAGTAAGTACCGAACCGAGCTAGCTTCTAGACTAGCTACCATTCCACCAAAAAGTATAGATGAGCATTGGTTGCAATTGCATGACGCCATGAAAATGGCGAGTAAAGTCAGTTATGGGTTCGCGAAACGTCCCGCTTATAAGCACTGGGTTTCCTCTGGTTCCTTGCAACTCATTGAAGCCCGCCGGTCTACTCCGGGTGACCGTGAGTTTGACCACAAACGAAGGATGTTACGTACTGAAATTGGGCAAAGCTTGCGTGAGGACCGAGAAGCCTGGTGGTCGGAGCGTGCTAATGAGCTGGAAGCATCAGCTGCATCTGGTAATTGCCGGAAGCTCTTCCAACTCATCCGAGCCGCTGGCAGCAAGAAGTCTGGTGTGAGCAAAGCAATCTGCGAGGATGACGGAACGCCAATCACTAACATCCATCGACGTCTTGGAGGATGGGCAGAATTTTTCGAAGGGCAGTTCAACTGGCCTACTGCTCCGGCAACATCGGTCAGACTGTCCTGCCCTCCATGGCCGGTGACGACTGATCCACCAAATGAGGCGGAAGTCCGCAAGGAACTCCAACTCTTGAAACGCCACAAATCACCGGGCCCAGATGACTTACCTCCGGCTCTTTTTAAAGATGTTGGTGACATTCTGACTAAGGGACTGACGACGTTGTTTACAAAGGTCTGGGAACTGGAGTGTGTACCAACGTCATGGAATGAGTCGATAGTTGTCCCTATCTTTAAAAAGGGTTCACGTCGTTCCTGTAACAACCATCGGGGGATAAGTCTACTTCCGATTGCGTCCAAGCTATTGGCTTCCGTCATACTTCGTAAGTTGTTCAAAACCCGAGAACGATTGACTCGCGGGGAGCAAGCCGGGTTTCATTCTGGTCGAGGATGTATTGATCATATCTTTACCCTCCGCCAAGTGTTAGAACACCGCCATACTTATCAAAGGCCAACAATCGTAGTGTTTCTTGATATCAGGGCTGCCTTCGATTCGTTGGACAGAACTGTTCTCTGGGATTGTCTATTGAAGAAGGGTGTGCCTGAGAAGTTTATTAACATCCTGAAAGCATTATACACAAACACCTCAGGCAGAGTGAGGGCATGCAACCACCTTTCTCCACTATTCCATTCAAGCAGTGGAGTTAGGCAGGTTTGCCCAATCTCACCATTCCTCTTCAACTTTGCCACCGATGACATTCTGGAAACAGCTCTGATGGATGTAAGTAATGGCGGTGTGGATCTGTTGCCTGGAGAAAGACTTCTCGACCTTGAGTATGCGGATGATATTGTCCTACTGTGCGATAATGCCCAAGCCATGCAATCCGCACTTAATCAGTTAGCAATCAATGTCCGTAGGTATAGTATGTGATTTGCACCTTCGAAGTGCAAAGTACTTCTGCAAGACTGGTAGGATTCTAATAATGTACTCACTCTGAATTGTGTGCAGATAAAAGTAGTCGGGAAGTTTGTGTATCTGGGTAGCTGCATAAGTGCTGGTGGTGGCGTGAGTGATGAGATCAATTCACGCATAGTGAAAGCCAGAGCGGCTTATGGCAGTCTTGGTCATCTTTGGCGCCTTCGTGATGTCAGTCTGGCTGTAAAAGGTCTGATCTACAACGCGTCGGTGAGAGCAGTTTTTCTCTATGCTTGTGAAACCTGGCCTCTCCGAGCTGAGGATGTTAGACGACTCTTTGTGTTGGATCATCGCTGTCTCCGAAGGATTGCTGACATCCAGTGGCAACAACATGTTAGTAATGCAGAGGTTCGGCATCGTGTGTTCGGGCACAGAGACGACAGTCAAATTGGTGTCACCATCTTGAAACACCGACTTCGGTGGCTTGGACATGTTCTACGAATGTCGTCCCAGCGAATTCCTCGTCGTGCACTATTTGCCGACTCTGGGACTGGTCGGAAAAGGCGGAGAGGTGGTCAGTGTATGACATGGTGTCGTGGTATGAAAGAAAGCTGCAAAGGGCTGGCTTGTGTTGGTCCTTCACGACTCCCTGGCTGGGGTCTGAGAGATGGTGTAACACAGTGGCTAGAGACGTTATCAGATATGGCTCAGAATAGAAGCCAGTGGCGATCCTGCTGTAACCTTCTTTTACTTTCTTCATAAAAAGCGGTTGCTTCTTCCTTAACTGAAAGATTTCTTCTGATTGTACCTTTCCGTTTCCCCCATTATTACTATTATTACACTACCTTACACTAATCTGTTCCTTATTGTTCTTTTTTTACGCTCCTTACCCTCCTTTCTTTTTTCCCTCCTCTTTAAACTCTCATTGTTTTGTGTGGCGCATATATATTTGGTGCCCCCTTGTACAAATATTTGTGTGTTGAAATAAATAAATAACTTAATTCAAACGACATATCGATATTTATTTTTATATTATCGTAATATATTTTTGGAAAACAGTCTAAGTGTGCAACGTAAAATATCACACACAAGTTCGTCGTTCTTTGTTTAGACGATTTTCATCCAGAAGAAATAAGTAAATCGACATGGATTATTATGAATCGAATCAAAAGGAATCTTTGAGTGAATAACAAACTAAAATCCGGTCTGAGAAGTTTGCTCGATGAATAATACAATATACTTTTGACTATTTGGCTGCAGATTGTCACTGTGCTGTACTTATTTCAGTTTGGATAATGAGACAACTTACTACCATTTGTTATTTTTTTGTACTGTATTGAATTCCATAACCACTACACTTCGATTCGATTTTTCCTAAACCAAAACAGGATTCGCAAGCGAATGATATATATTCCAATAACCTGACCAACAAGACAGCCCTAAAATCACTTGAATTTATATATAAATTACTTACAACTTTTTCTATTATCTTCTCGATTTGTTCGCTAGCGCCGCTTGTTGGAAAATGCACTAACTTGTGTGTTCCGATTTGAGCGAACCAAAGTATGCAGTAGTCAGAATACTATCTTCCTAGTACCATCCATCACACCAAAATTGTGGCTTGACGTCAAATATATGAGATTGTAATTGGTGCAAATGAATTGCAGTAATATAGTGAAAATTCCCATTTTGACATTTGTTAAAAAAGGAGGAACGAATCGAGCGAAAATATTTCTTTTCAATTAGTTTTCCATCATGGCTCTACACTAATATATATGATTTACAATAATGAAATAATACTCGTCGAGTATATACGTTGCGTAATAATTACATGATGACATTTCGATTATAAATTGACATCGAGTAATTGGAAGAAGGAGGATTAATAATAATAAAAGTAATTGTCCGAAAATCAAGAAGCTGCTACGTTGCATAGTGTGAAAAAGATAAGGAACACAATATTTTGATGAATGGTCAGTAGAATAGTAGTTATGTAGGAATCGAGAGATGAATGTTGAGAATATGAAAATACAACGTTCAAAAAAACAAAAACAAAATGGAGGAAGCACGAAAATAGTTTACCAATGTTCTGCTACAAACGCCCCTATACCGATGGCCAAGGTAGCGAAAGTGGTTGTACAAACTTCTTTTGGATGCAAAGATTAGGTTTGTGAACATGGATTGCGATGGCCTCAGTAATGTGCAAAAAACGCACTCGTAAACCATGTGGCAAATTTGATGGAATATGGTAAATAACCTTAAAAGCTTTATTCAGTTCAACTTGATGAGCTGTATCAACCAAGTAAGCGAGAATAGAACTCCTAATTAGTTTTACCTGTTCTTTGCTCAACCACGACGGATGGTGTTCTGTTATACGATGACGGACTTGTCGAATTGTAGGCTCTACATAACTGGTTCCACAGGATCAGTTCAGTCGATAAATACATATGGATTTAGCGAATTCAGGCAATCTGTCTTTCTTGGCCGTTTTTCTTGTGGGGTAGTTGTAGAAGATGGCACTCAGTCTGGCTGCATTAAATGTTTTCTGTACCACCTTTCTTAACCTGTGTGTTACAATCTCGTATCTACTCATTGAGCATTATTTCACTATTGTAAATCGTATATATATTAGTTTAGAGCCATGATGGAAAACTAATTGGAAAGAAATTTCTTCGCTCGATTCGTTTCTTCTTTATTTACGAATTACAGTTTGATTTGATAATTTCGAATAAATTGAGCATTGGGTTGATTGTTATAAATAAATAATATATTTGTAATATCCCAATGAGTAGAAAATTAGACTTTCTGACGTTTCATGACTTAGTGTGAGTCACTTCTTCAGAGAATAAATAACCAAATTAAAATTAATCCAAGTTTAAATAGTACAACGGAACAATGCCTATTAATTCTCTGAAACGTCAGAAAATCTAATTTTCTACTCATTGGGATATTACAAATATATTATTTATTTATAAGTTTATTTTAGTTTGAAAGTAGAGTTTACATGGATTAAAAAGAATATTTTAAAGTTCTTTTCAAATTTATTAAAATATCTTGATCAGTATTATCATTTTCTTCATTTATACAGTCATCAACATGTTGTCATTAGATCATTGTAAAAATTTGGCCTACTATCTACTAACTACAAATTATGCTCCATATCAGAATGAAAAGTTGAAACACTTGTTTGATAATATTAATAATGATAAAAGCCGTAAAACACAGAGAAAACCTCTTTTAAAAGCTCCTACTACTGCAAACACCACTAACAGTGTTACTGTCAACATATCATCATATGGAGATAATTCCTTGCCTGTATTATCTAAAAATATTCAACAAAAGAAGCATTATAATTTCTTAATAAAGATGCTTAAACGTGACAGTCTGTTGCCAGAATCACTATGGAATAACGTAAGTGAACTTTCGTGGGCTATATCTTGAATGTGTGTACGTTCAAAGTGTAATGTTTTCCTTCAGTTTATTTGTCCATGAAATACGTTCTTATCTGTAATTGTCGGCATACATCGTGCATGTAAGAATCAGTTGGAAGCAACCGTCTAGCGGTCAAATTGAATCGTTTTTAGATCAGTAGTCATCAAAGTAAGTTGCTCTTACAGTGATGCACCCATATGATTCAGTGCTCTGTATTTTTTGCACATAAGATCCTAGTGTAAGACTATGACTGCTCTATTTTCAAAAGCAAAGGATTGAGTTAGGCACTATGCAAAATATAATCACCGAAGGGCACCAACACGTGTTTAATATGGAGATTATATTTAAATGTCTTGTAGACCTTTAGCAATATTATAAGGTAACATAACTACAGAGAATTACTTGTGTCCGATTTTTTACTGATATTTTTCATCGATTCATAATTCACTGAAAATGTTATTAGCTTGACGTTGATTAATCAAAAAATAGGCAATTGTTAAATGCACACTTATTGTGAATTGGCTTGAACAAAAGAAACTACTGAGAGAGTTATTATGCAACTGTATACAACTGTTATACATCTGTTTCACTATAGTCTTAAACTCCTTAGCGGTCCGCACGTACACAACTTCATTCCTAAAGCAGATTCCAATAATTCACATCATATATAACTAATATATTATCAGCAAGTTACTGCCTCTTTATAATAGGCTAAGTTTTGGAGGTGAAGACTTGTCACTGGAATTCCCGGAAATCTGTTTCAAAACTATTCACTAGTGAACACACGATCATTAGTATTAGGTTTGTTTTGTGCGGATCCTCTCATTACTAACTGAAAACAAAATCCATTACGTAAAAGTTATCTGATAAGATTTTTTGACGAAGTAAAATAAGCTTCTGCTCCACTAATAAGCATCTAAAGTGTATTAACTTTGCAGTGTACAGACAAACTCTGTGTCAACAATGTCAGTTCTCAATTTTACATAAATATCATCCATTGTTATCTGTGATACCTGTATCATACATAGTTGAATCCCATTGCTTAAATTGTTTCACAATGGGACTTGAGGGATTTTCCTTGAAACTTGTGACAAGTGATATGGTTGATTGCTGAATGTTAAGATAGTTCACATTAACTGACTGACTTAAGTTATAAAAATATTCTTTCTGTTTATATCTTGTGGTTGTCTTAAAATCATTCCATAATTTCATCATGCTTTTTTCTATTCTGTCTGAAGGTTTATAATCAACTATGTGATAATTTTGTTTATGAATTAAATTCTTTGCATCGGGGTTTTCATCAACTCACATCTACCAGTACATTTGTTAATTATGTTATTCAATATCTGGGACGTTCATTTAGTATGAAACATAATATTATTCAGTTAACCGATATTGGATTATCAGAGTCATTTAAACATAATAATATTGACAATACTTCAGTGAGTAATAAACTTCATTTAGTTTGTATTAAAGAAAATTTGATTAGTTTCTTCATTGATTGTATAGCTTTAAATGATCATAAATTGTTTGTTGTATACTTCCATTTATTGGTGATTTTCCTCTCTTTTTTATTTATGTTATGCCTTTAGTTTTGCAAACTATTTTACAGATTTTTAAATTTATAAGTGTATATAATTTGTGGACTTGTTTTCCGAAATGTTTTTTGTTGACCATTTTTCTATTCTCATAATGCTTCCCATGTTTATTTTTATAGATCTTTTTACATTTGTTCTCTCCTTTTAACGATAAATACATTTTATTCCTTATCCTTACAGAAACTATGTATCCGAAAATTTCTTTTATATCTTCAACCCTAAATGTATACATAATTTTTTTATTTTGTGATTATAAATGCTTTTTGTTTTAAAGTTCCTCTACTGTCTTGGAAAAATCGACTACATTCTTTGATATCACTAAACAGTAGTATAAACGAACTAGTTTTATTAAAAGTGGACATTTTGTTTTATCAAAGTACTTTGTGCTTCATTTCCGTTTGATTTCTTTTTGGTTAGATTTTATTGTTAGCAAAACACCTAAATTAGATTTAAATTATGAATTTATCTCATCGAAGTAACACGTTTTAAATTAGTCAGTGAGTCACAAAGTAAAACCTGTACGTATGTACATCGGTTCAAGTTGCCATACCCCAATAGTACAGAGAGATGAAGTCAGGCCAAATCCCAGAATAGTAGAGGTAGTAACAGTATCAGAGGTAATAGGAAATATTAGGCATCAGAGACACTGCTCGTAAAGAAAATATAAACTAACGAAACCAAAACAGAAAAACATTATGAGGAATTTAGAATCTTTGGAATCGTGAAAAGACAAGAAATGGACACACCTGCGCCATTCCTAACGATTTTCAGTCATGTCATTCAAAGTCTCTAACTATTGACTACGATAATCACGAAGACCCTAACCAGATGGTCCATACCTACTTACATGGCCGAGTTCAATTGTCAGTGACTTTATTGACCGATTCCGTGTTTTAGTTTGGCCGCCCCCAGCGTTTTTCCAGCCTACTCCTGCACCAGTAAACATTGCCCGTCAAGATAGGCGGTGGTTGAACATACGAAACATATGTCCCAACCACCTCAGTTGATGACGATTTACTACCTCATCAGTCAATTTAACGTCCTTACCCAGTACTCTACTCCTAACCCGTGTATTGCTTACTCCGTGGCCCCGAAATACACGAGCAATGCTTCGTAGACACTTATGATCGAATACTAGTAACTACGAATATCCTCTATTCTTAATGGTTATGTTTCACATCCATAAAGTAGAACGGAGCGAACTGCTGCACAGTAGACTTTCCCTTTAGTTGAAAGATGGATATCTAGCGTCCGACACAAGTGATGAAAGTTAGTAAAGGCCACTCGATCCTTCTGAAGTCCTGTCGAGATTTCGTCAGACACCAGAACATCAGTAGTGACGTGAAGTGGTGGTTGCGTTCAACTACTTCACTTCCTATCACTAATTCAGGCGGTGACCCAAGCCAATCCTGAAATAACATTTTACATTTGGCGGGAGACAACCACATACCAAACATGTTTGCATTGTTGCCTAAGGTGGTCAGAAGACTGTATCGTCTGCGTATTCTAAGTCATCAAGTGAATCTCCTGGTGTAAGGTCAATCCCTGGAAAGGCAGACGATGAAAGTGTTATCTCTGAGAGCATATCTATGATGAACTTAAATAAAAGTGGAGAAAGCGGACAACTCTGATGAACACAATTCGGAGTAACCAATTCCGACAACGGTTCATCATGTGCTTTGACTCGACCAGTAATGTTTGAGTAGAGAGTCTGTACACGGTTAATGCACTTCTTTGGTACGCCTTTCATCGACAAACTTCCGTAGAACCTCACGATCAACAGAGTAGAGTGCTGTCTTAATTTCAAAGAATAGTAGGACGTCGAAAAGTATGACTGTGTTCTGGCATCTGCCGGAATGTGAGTATTTGATCTACACATCCGCGCCCAGGTCTGAAACTATCCTGACTTTCTGGGGTTTACTTTTCACGAGCTTTAGTTAGACATCGAAGTCTTATTGAAGCTAATATTTTAGATACTATTAGTTAGATTGACTGTGATTAATACAAGGGGATTTTTGTCATTTCTTATAAACTGGGACGATCAATGATCGAGACCAGTCAGGTGGAATTACGTCCAGTTTTCAGTTAACTACTAAAACTAGACCATCATCCTTAAAAATCTCAAGGGCTAGTCCATTGGACTCTACTACTCTCCCTGGCTTTAGATTACTTACAGCCTTTTCAACTCAACTAAGAGTTGGAGGACTTACATCAGGTTGCTGGGAGATAATGGGTAACTGAAGTGTAGCTGAAGGCCAGTTGAACTGTTCCCTAAAGTGGCCTGCCCGTTGGCCTAGTCTCCTGGATTGAGTGAATAATAGTCCCTTCATTTTCCGTATTTGTAATATCCATTTGCTTGATAAGTCTGAACAGTTGTCTGCTGTTACCTATCGCTGCTGCATTTTTAATCTATTCTGTTTTCGCTACCCACCACTGCTGACGATCATTACGTAGGCTTTCAACTAGCCTACATTTAAGCTGGTTACGATCCTCGTCGCCTCTGAAATCCACTGAGTTTTCCAGCCTTTTGGTTTAAGTTACTAGCAGGCGTCACTGATGTTTCCACAGCCTTTTGGATATCGTATCAGGTTGCTTCGAAGTGGATATCATTTTCACGTTTGGCTAGCACCTTCTCTAGTTATTTCTGAAGTAAACTCTTAACTTTCTCATCATTAAGCTGGACTTTAAATGGTTTTTTGCTGTGACTTCTCTACGTTTAGTAAGACGAAAACAAATACGTGCTCGAACCAGAGAGCGATCTGAGTTTAAACACGTGCTCTAGAATGAGCGACACTTCAATCGAGCCCATCCAACGATGGCTAACGTCTTTAAACGATTTTAAGTCAGTCATTTCTATAGTGGGTGTCAGTTGTTCTGGTAACGTAGTTGTAATCTCCATTGGTCTGTCTGAAACAATACAGAGAGTAGAAGTACAGAAAATCAGTTAAGTGCATGTTCATTGATCCTATAAAGCATACTAAAAGCAATGTTTGTATTCAGTTGATTACATTTCAACCTGTTTACCAAGTATAGCTTTATGCTGTCGGGTTTAAGCTATATTCTAAGTCCCGGAACTATTGACACTAGACAGGTCAAACTGAATTAGGAAAAGCGCTGTTCCAACATTCTACTCACTGGTCGAAAGCTAAGTACATTTAGCACCAAGCTATTACACCAGTGAGGGATTGGCTAAGAGTTTTCAGACTTTTATACGTTATGGGTGTTGTTAAACGTTTTAATTTTCTACAATATAAAAATAATTATGGCTTGTACAGAATATGCTTCAGTGTATAAAAATTTCTAGAGTTGTTTTGTGATAAAGTAGTTAATTCTTGTTTCAGATATGATCATTTTACAACCAATAAATCATTTCTCGTATTTAGGGTGCATGTGTACGTTTGAATATCAAGCTGTAGTTACTTGCGAGTCGGTGTTCTCAGCCTTGTAGATGAATGTAAAGTAAGATAGAAACATCCTAGGTAATATAGTTGAATAGCTGTTTTGTCAATTACCATTGATACCTGTAATAGTTTATTCAAACTTTCGGACATAAGTGTAACCGTTTCTACAGAGACATATTTGTTTGCTAATACTGTTTTAAGTTGCAGTAGACAACCATACAATTACTTGAGCAAACAGAGACAACATTGAAGAAGTCGCTACTCATATATTTATTAACGAGTAGCTAAACTATTTGTGCGATATTTAAACTGTATTAGAAATTTATAAAAACAGAATTGAAACTTAAAAGTGACGACAACAAGAACTAAAGAATTTGGAAATCAAGAGAAGTGTATGGTTAAATGATTACAACAAAATTGGGAAAAAATTAGTGTTACGACTTTTCAGCTGTGTAATGATTGATGTAGTTACTAAATTCATTTAATGTGTTAAATTTTCTAAAATTCTATGTCTATAAACCAGATACTTTGCAGAAAAGAGTATGACTTAGAAATTACTATCGATACAAAATAAATTCGCTGATCTGTACTGGAACGCTACTTAGGCAAACTTTCCACAGCAGTTAACCTCATATTTTACTTCTTTACCCTTGCTGCACCTCCTGAAGCATAGGCTACCGACCAGGGTTCGCTAACCAACTCTGTTCTGGGCTCATTACAACATCATCTATGCTTTATGAATACAATAACCTATAACATGGTCCCTTTAGTTGAGAATATCTTTTTAAAACTGTACGATATTTTTGTAGCGAAATGGGTTCTCATTTTGAGCATAGACAGTAAATAACGACTGTTATTTTATCGTCATTCAGGATAATGTTCGCTTTGTTTGACATATTAGTTTACCCTTTTTCTCTATTTCTAGCTATTATTTGGTGCTATCTAATTGCATACCCATATACTTTTTGAGCTGCAATTTTTTCGGTTATCTTGCATATAAACTTTTGTAGCTTGAAAAAGAATTCGAGAAATCATCAATACTACGCTTGGAGATATGAGGTGAAAAAAGTGTATATATTTCACATTACTCATTTGAATATAGTAACATGCCAATTTCCCTAAAATTACTTCTCAATTATGTAATAACTAGTCATTCTATTCTACAAAAGTTTTAAACTGACCAGTTGTGATCAATATACTGTTTGATTATTACTTCCCGGTTTTAACATAAAATTGTATGATCTAATATTGTTTTCCAGGAAATCCTAGTTACTCGAAGATAAATAGACGCCATCGATCATTTGTCAATATTAATTGATTTTTTCCTACTGGAATTATGTACATTGAAATCTGAGGAAATAGTCTACTTTATATTAATGATATGGATAATGATAACTTATTTAAATTCCAGGATAAAATACTATCAAATAAACTGTCTGTTTTTAGTTTTTTTTTTCTTGAAATCAGTTACAAAGCCTTCTACTATGGTTTCATAGGTGTTTATTTTAGCTCAGATAAATCATTATTATTATTATTTAGTTCATGTAATCGATTGGTTCTTGATTTTTCTCATGCATTGAGAAGCAAATTTATGAGCATTCAAGATAGTGAAACTGCCATAGTCGTGTTTATTCAATAAACTCTCAATTTTATGGCTGATCAAATTATGCAATAGACTATAATACTAAGATTGTTGTGAAACTGAAACCAAACTCACTTTGTATGTTCTGGTACCTGTAAATTACAACTGGATAGTTCAAACTGAATCTCACCTTCAGTGAATAAGAAATTATAACTCCATTGAATCCACGGACATGAACCCCCATAGAAATAAATATCTGGCTCTTTTTATGTTACAAACAAATTTGATAAGGCACTAAGAATACTTACAACAAATTTATCGTTTTAATAAATTTTATTACCCAAGTTAGTGTAAGTTTATCACACGTTTCACAATTCTCCTCCTGTTCAGGAATTGGAAATCTGATTTAACACTCACATATTAAACTTGATGAAAGAGTGAAAAGAATCTTGATGATACGAACTAATGAGATTTGTCCAAACGATAACTGCTTTCGAAATTGAATTTTATGACTTCTAGCATTCACTGACATTTCTCTAATTGAATGATAATAAACGAGTCTGAATAAATAACTACACAGTCACATTTGTATTTGTTTTAATACAAAAGTGTATGACGACAAATATGATTAGAATACACAATGTAAAATATTTGAATACGATGATATTTGATTACTGAATATCTTTTCAGTTTAATATTTCAAATATTGCTCTTATTAAGAATTTTTTTCAACACTCATCCTGAACAAAATCCACATGCAATTTAATCCGATATTTCTAAGTTTAGCTAGTATAATAACTTTAAAAATAGGGGTCTTAATTAGTTTAATGTTAAAGAAAATCTCTTGGTTATCGACTACTGATAATGATTACTTGTTTGACATTTAAAACATATCACAGTCGAAACTCATTTGAAGCTACCTATCTAGAATTTAAGTTGCATTATTAATCTCATACAGTTAATTGAATAACACACAGGAAATAAATTAAATTTGGTCTCAAGATTTTACTCTTTTACTACATAATCTAGTTTTAACACTGCATTTATGAAGAAACAATTTGTAGTTTTACGAAAATTGTATAGTGCTGGTGCCATGAAATAACTTCAAAAGAAACTGATTTATTCATAACGTAAACCATATTAATAAATAACAAAATATATTTCTCACATTCAATAAAGACTTTCAGTTGCTAATGTACAGAGATAAACATATAAAAATGAAACAGTTGAACTTATCAATATTAAGGAAAAATTTAACATAGTAAGATAGAAAAGTGAGAATAAATCGATTTAACATATGAATATACTTAGTAAATAATATTACTAACACTACTGACTGAGATTATGTATACTGATGTTCCTTTCGATTGTACATTTTTCTTATTTGTCGGATCTATTTCTATTTTAGGTTGATGGGAAAACAAAAGAACAAATATTATCACACTTGACAGAGGCTCTTGCAAATACCTTATTAAAATATCCAATTCATCTAGCTTATAAAAGGTTAGTTAATTTACTATTTTCAAGCGTAAGTGATCCATAAATACGAAATAATTCTAACAAAGCTAATTGTTGATGAGAAACTGATATAATTTGATATTAAAAAGGTGTTAAACCCGTCATATATATTAACGCTAGTAATTTATGAAGAGTGGACAAATAAGTTTTCCTAATAAAATAATTCGGGTGCTAATTACTTACTTTTCATATAGTTTAGAATGTTTGATTAACAAGTAGAGAGAGGCTATATATTTGATAATAATGTGCATCAAAATTCTTGTAGTAAGAAATTTTATATAGTAAATAGCTTTTTATTAACAGCATTCGTCGGGTGAGACATTCAATTTAAGAAATAATGGTGTAACTGCACCGTACAAATAAACTAGAAATAATCATTAACTCTCGAGCTTTTTCAAAATGTGAGTTATAAGTGTTGACAATATTGAAGCTTTTGCAAATAACCTAAGATGTTAATGTTTCGACAAACTATTCTATATTGTTCTAATAAACAGAAAGTGGGAACATTGAAAACAAGAGACCTATTCCATATATATGGACAGTCTAAAGTTGTTTGCTCCATTGAGACAAATGTCATGACAGTAGTTTTGACCACGGTAAGATTCAATCATGTAAACGAGATAGTACCTTGCAGATGTAGACATAATTACCAAATCTTTAACACAATCCGTTAATTTTAGGGGAGGATGTTCTAGCAGATACCATGTTCAGTAGGTCTAGTAACTAAAACAAGGATCTGGCATATTTTGTTGTGGATTACATGAGAGACAATATGAGCATTCTGTTATACAACTGATTGAAAGTTAACTAAATACCAGTGATGTCTTTTTAAAATTTTCTATAAATAAGAAATACTTTAACTACACTCGTAGAGTAAAATATCTTTAAAAAACACTAGTTTATTAGTATTATGAGTGGATTAACACATAATTTTGTGTTTGTTCTTAGATCACCTTCAGGCTTAGAAACTGGCATATCGTATGTCTCTACATTTCGTAAACAATGCAAGGAAGTTCTAGAATATTGTCTATCACATTTCGAGGCAAATTATTTAGTGAGTAAAATAAAATAAAATTTTTGCGCCCTAAAGTTACATGTGATATCTGTTAAACCTTGAAAATCTATGTTAGATTATATATTACTAACAGTCAATTTAACTAACATCATTACTTACGTAAGTAGTCTTAAGAAACATACTAGTAAAAAATGATACTACTATATAGTAGTTTATATATTTTATATTTAATTTAGATTTACACTTAAATTAAAATTTTACCAAACATTATGCCATAAACTACATTAACTTTTTTTATCTAAGACAATATACTCGACTTTACCACTGACTATATGTCGACAATGTTAGCGTTTTGAATTTCTCAATTATCGAAAACCTGTAATCTTCATGAATAAACTATGCTCATGAACAATATTTCCAATCCAAATTATTGGAACCGATAATATTTTAAAATTACTATTTCAGAGATTCTGTTATATTGCCTTTCACATTGCATACAGATTTATATAAGAAACAGAATCGGTTTAATTTTCTTTAATATATCATTGTCAACTAATTTTTTAGGGCTAAGTCAACTTCATAAATATGTTTTACATACACAGAAGTTTTCGTCATTAATTATCTTACAAGAATTCTAGTTTAGTTTAGTTACTTTAGGTTTATACTTATAGAACAAGTTTAACCTCAAATTTCTTCTTTAATCAATTAAAAATAAATAATTGTCAGTGAAAATAAGTGATTTTATTGTTAACTAACTGATCGATAATATACTATGATCAAAAACTGTAAAATCAAGATAATATTTAAAAAAATAGTACTTATTAATAAAAGATTAATTCATATCTTACATTATGCAAAAATAATCGATAAATCTAAATTATCGGCATTTCATCTACCCTTTTTTTCTCCCATTTTATTCTCTTTTCCTCTTTTTGTCAATTTTTCTATGAATTCATTCATATTCATTTTGTTATAGGCTGTTTTTTAAAATTTTTTCATGCCTAGTTTATTGAAAATAAATATTCTATTGTCTTATTTCAAATGTTACAATAGAAGTAGGGGGAAATTTTCTTTTTTTTGTTGTTGTTGTTTTGATTAATTGGCTTGTATTTAATTATTCACATCAGGGATGACTATTCTTCAATTTACCTACCTGTTTTATATACAGTATATATTCAGAGTATTATCACATTTGTTTGTCTTGTTTTTTTAAAACAAAACCTCGAAAGAATTTCCTAAATTACAAAATCATGTTACATTCCATAAACTTTGTGACGATAGTTTCATTTTAATAAAAAAAACTAAGTCTTTTTTACACTAAAACAAAATATCGGCAAATAAATGACAATACAAGTTGCTATTAAAAATATTAACATTTTTTTGTTGTTTTGAAATTGTAAGGATGATACAATGTTTAATTTTAATTCAAAAGTATATTGTGTTGAATTATCGGAAAAGAAACACATTAGATCTTGTAAATTAAAAGTTAAGTTTTAAGATATTTACTATTGATTATGCTGAAATTTAGTACATTAGTATAAATATGTAATATACCCTCGTGGGCCAGGGTAATTTTACACTGGTTTTCTGAAGAACCAGACATCATCTAGACTCTCATGTGACAACCAAAACAGTACAACTCAATCCCGTTTAACATGAGAGCTAAACACCGCCCAGGCTTAAATTTTATAACCATTGAAGTGCAGCTCAATCCCGCTTCACAGGAAACCAGAAATAATATAGGCTTTAACGCTACAATCTGAATAGTGCAGCTCAATCTTGTGGTGAAACCACACAGGTACTAGGTACGCTGGTATTTTTTTCTTTTTTAATGTACCAATCAAAGGTTATCATACATGAATGGAATAGTTAAAATGGCAGCTGAAGCTAATCTAGTCTAAATAGTAAATGAGGAAAAAAAGATTAGACTATAATTTATGAACGAACTAATCAGATATAGGATAAAAGGTTTTAAATTTTGGTGAGAAATCCATTCAACCATTTAGCTTAATAGTGTTTTGGTATTTTAGCTCATGTCAGTTCGTAATGAAAACCAGAAATCCAATTCCTAAACCTAACCATCGACTGTGAATTATAATCCTTCCTTTATAACCTTCATTTAACCCAGTAAGTAGGTAGACACTCTCAAGGTTACTTTAGCGTCGCTCAAAGGTTGTCCATAAATTACAATCTCACCGAAAAAATTCATTGTTTGCTTTACATATTTGTTACAAAACGTTTGCGAAATGAATCACTAGGTACACTGACTACCTTTTATTAAATATCGATAAGCTAGTACATACTGATATTCACTTTAAAATAGTGTAATTTTGAGTTAAGTAAAGAGCGATATTGTGATAGGACAAATATTTTACTAAATATATTTCATACTATTATATTTATCCACCTGCTGTGACTTGGCATTCTAATGTTTCTAGAGAATTATTTTGGTCGACAGTTGTGTAGTTTGGCTAGGAGTAATATGAAATGAATCAATGTTTGAGACTATGCTTTTCAATAGAAAAAATAAACACAATTTATTGATATTTCCTAATAATATTTCAAGTAATTTTAGGATGGGAGTATAGTTTTTAGTACTTTTTACTTCCCATACTAATAATTATTTGTTGAATAATAATACTGATAATAACATCATAATTAGCATTTAGCTTTGATCTTGTTAAGCTCCATATTTCAATATGAGGTAGATGGTATCAATGTCAAGGAATTTCTGATGATTAACAGTTGTCAGGAAAAATTCTATTGAATAGTTCCTTTGATAATCGTCTGTAAGAACTTTAGAGCTAAAGTCAAATCATTTGACTATTCAGATTAATTCAAGTGAATTAAATTAGAAATATAATTGAAATCATGAACGAATATAGTTAGAGCACTACTGACAACCTGGAAGTACTGGTTAGCCCTTTTGTCTTGGTATGGAACTCCTCAGCAACGCTCATTAAGAGACCGAGCCCGGGACCTTCGATCTCGCGTGCAAACGCCTAAACTTTAGAGAACTGAGCTAGAATCTAGAGGTATTGACATTTAATTTCAATCAATTCATCTGTCTAATGTTTCCAGATTTTCAATGGTGGTCTAACTTAGATCAATGTATGGCTTCAATGAAATTCGACAATCTTTACAACTCCATACTCAAAATTACGTGTTAACGATATAATAAAAATGTGGCCGAACCTTAAGATAAACTGTATATTCGAAAAATGTCCTGATTTACGTTAGATAGTAGTAAAGAAACACATATACATTTAACAATATAAATATTTTAAAAACGAAATTGAGTAATAACAATTATTTTTGAAAGTCATATATATGACTGGGAGATATAAAATAGTTCAAATTAATTTAATTGATTTCTATTAAATGAATTCAGTATAACTAGTGTCTGAGTTTTTCATTTTGACTATACACAAGTACATTTAGTATAACAATGCGTGTACTTCATTAATAATGTTCCTCGTTGCCTAAAGCGAATCATTTAAGAAAGTTTAAATCCAGGGACTCTATTTACCGTATGATAGTTTGAAATTAGACAGATTTGCATTAAGGAAAGTTCTCTCAAAACGATTTGAAACCACATAATTTACTCACTGTGACTTTTTTAGTAAATTATTTGATTGTGGTTATTAAAGCTGTAATATTTCTATTTGATAAATATTTAACTGAGAGACAATATCAAAAACACCGTTTTATGGTTGTACGATAACTGAAATTGTTAACAACAATCAAAGTTTGTATATTTTATCTGACTGGAAAATTTGAAGTTGTTGTCGAATTTCAATCAGTCTTATCTCAATGACCCATGACATAAAAATGGATCTATGACATATGGCTACCTAAAACATTTTCGTTTTACAAGCGCTACTGACTATTCAATCTGACAACAGTATAAGTAGCCCAACTAGATGTTTTAATCCTTCTTCGGCATATCAAAATATCTGACAGTTTTCTTTAGTGGTTATTAGTTATAAGCAAAGAGTTTGATAACAAAAACAACCAAAGGTAATCACATTCTTATTTTATGTTCCACTACAACCCCTTCACTTGAATATTTGATTGTGAATAGTTTGACAGATGTATATTACCAGTTTTTTATTTATTTTATCAATCATAGTGAGCGTAAACGCATCGTTGGGTGAATGGCCAGAATTTTAGGGAAAATAACAAATTTAGTCATAAAAGAGTAAACAAATTGTGATTGTAGATTGATTGTATGGACAATAGTTAAATTATGAAACCTTTATTCGAAGGTTTTGAGTTAATAATGAGGTCGAAAATATTTATTTATAAGTTGCCTGGGCATCAAGAATCATAAAACGAAATATAACATAATCCCATGAGGTATTATGTATTTGTTCAATACACAATTTTAAGTCATTCTCAACACTCATTCCTACTGCTTTTAACTCTAGTGTGACTCAAGGTATGTGTTTTATGTCAAATAAAACTACAATGAAATGCTTTTTAAATTTCACTGATAAACACTAGTCTTTATGCTTTTAGCTCCTCCGGTCTCAGAGGAAGAACGATTGATGAATTTTCAGTTAGTTTTTTAATAACCAATCAGAAGTTATAGATTAAACTTAATAAATGATACAAATTTCTTACAGTACAATAAACTTTTTGAAGGATGCGATTTGGTTATGTAAGCTATCTCTAATTGACAAGACACCTCTTGTTATTGATGACAAAACTGATGAGACCAATGAAAATAATTTACATTTTTCTATAAATCACTAAAGCATTAGTGAATTTCATAACAATCTTATTGATTTCAATGTATAACTCGTATTTACAATTTATATTAGTTATATTTCCTACAATAGTTTACCAATTTATTTACAAATTATCCATTTTTGAAACTAACTTATAATCCATCCCAATGCCTATTAGTTATTTATGTGATTTTTAATCGTGAGCCTTTTTTTTAAACAGGTAGATCAGATATAACCATTGGAGATGTTCACTCATGTTATTTAATCATTAGTTAGATCATAATCTAATTTTCATTCTAGTTACAA